GTCAGAGTGCAGACGCAGGACAGAAAAGTCCCGCTGGAACCGCTCGCGGAGCTGGAGACGAACAGCGCGGATCCAAGGGATCAAAACATCAGGGACGTCCCCCTTGCTGCGCAAGGGGAAGACCGTGGTGTAACGCGTGTAGTCGTCGACGACCAGCAGGAAGTACCGCTCGTGGCCCTGTCCACGGACGCGGGCTGGGCCCCACACGTCCAGGTGGAGAGTCTGCAGGGGAGCCTCTGTGGGAGGGAACGAGGAGGAGTGAGGAGCGGCGCGCTGCCGCCCCTCGACGCAAGGAATGCAGGGCGGCGCAGGCGAGGGAGGGAGGGCAGGCAGAGACCTAGGAAGACCAGAGACCAGGGAGCGAGAGTGCATGCGACGAAGGCGAGGCAAGGAGGGGTGACCAAGGCGGTGGTGCCACAGGAGAGTGTCATGCGACAAAGCGCGACACTCGCAGGGGGCCGCCAGCTGACCAGACGTAGACGCAGACGCAGCTACCTGAGGGGACTCAGTGGTCAGTGTGTACAGACTCGAGCTAGGTGCACGGGTGAACGTGGCCAAGTGTCGGCCCGTCCTAGCACACGTACAGTGAGTCACTCGCTGACTCGCAGGAGTGAACTGGTCAACCCCCCGATCCTGGAGGTCAGCTCCACTCACCAAGTTCGTAGAGAACGAGGGGAGGTAAAGACCTGACAGCGAGCCAGACGGGGCGGCCGGACACGGCAGAACCGTGGAGTAGTGAGCAAGGACTGGACCCCCGGAGGGGTCCGCCAGGGAGACTGGAACTGGCCGACTAAGCGGCGTGAGTGTGGTGCAGTCGCGAAAGAAGGAGCGGGAAGCTCCTGAGTCAAGGGTGAAGGTGTGCGAGACCGCAGCAGGCGCAGTACCCGAGAGAGCAGACTCACCAGCACCTAGAGCAACAGCCTCACCAGCACCTAGAGCAGGGGACGCACTAGCACCTAGAGCAGCAGCCTCACCAGCACCTAGAGCAGGAGACGCACGAGCACCTAGAGCAGCAGCCTCACCAGTACCGAGAGCAGCAGGCTCTATACCAGGGTCAGGCGGTACGCACAGGTAACAGGCACGGTCAGCACTAGTAGGCAATGCATACATGGCAGTGAGAATAGCATCATAGTCAAGAGCAAAGATATCTACCCTCTGGCTAAGCAGCTCCAGCCAGGTGGGGAGCTCAGCCTCGTCGCCAAACTCGGTACGCCAGGCGTCGCTCAGACGGGCAAAGCAGCGGGACTGTGTGTGACCAAGCGTCCCGCAAGGCTGACCAGTCCGATCACCTGTGCGAATGACGTACGGGCAGCGAACTGTACGCGTAGACCTGCTACACTGAGCGTACCACTCATGGAGCTGCTGGGACGTAAGTGTCTCGCGTGGACGCCGCTGTAGCTGCAGCTGGCCACTGGCAGATGCTCCCAACTGACCAGCTCCAGGGCGACAGCTACGACGGCTACCGCGACAACCCCAGCTAGTATACCACTCACTAAGCTGCTGGGGCGTGAGAGGCTCGCGTGAACGTCGCTGGAGCTGCATCTGGCCACCTGCCAGTAGCAGTAGCAGCAGCAGTAGCGCGGGCAGGGCAGGCGCGGCAGGCAGGCAGGCAAGCAGGCAGGCAGGCAGGCCGACAGGCAGGCAGGCCGGCAGGCAGACAGGCAGGCAGGCAGGCAGGCAGGCAGGCAGGCAGACAGACAGGCAGGCCGGCAGGCAGGCAGGCAGGCAGGCAGGCGCTCACCAAAGGCTGGAAGAGCAGGCGCTCGCCGGGCGAGCAGGGCCGGCGCTCGACGGGCGGCGGCCGAGTAGGCGCACGACAGCGGCGACGTCGGGGCCGCAACACCGGCTGCAGAGTAGGGCCGAAGCAGCTGCAGGGCGGGGCCGCTTCAGCGGCAGTTGCAGGGTGGGGCCGCGTCAGCGGCAGGTCGGGGCCGTGGCAGCTGCAGGGCGGGGCCGCATCAGCGGCAGGTCGGGGCCGAGGCAGAGGGCCGCGCGCGGCTCGGCGCGGGCTGTGCTGACAGCGCGCTGGGCTGCTGCAGGCCGCGCGCGGGCAGCGCGAGGCAGTAGCAGGCCGCGCGCGGTTCGGCGTGGGCTGCGTGGGCTCGGCGCGGGCTGCGCGGGCTCGGTGCGGGCAGCGCGCGGCTCGGCGCGGGCTGCGCGGGCTCGGTGCGGGCAGCGCGCGGCAGCAGCGGGCTGCGCGCGGCTCGGTGCGGGCAGCGCGGCAGTAGGGGGCCTGACGGGCCTGCAGGGGCTGTTCGCGGGCCTGAAGGGCGTGTAGGGGCGGCGCGCGGGCCTTACGGGCCTCTAGGGGCAGCGCGCTGGCCTAGGGCAGCAGGAGGCAGCGCTGGGGCTGTTGGAAGGCGCGCGTAGTGCAGCACATCACAAGGCAAGGCAAGGCAGGCAGGTACGTGGGGTAGCGTGGTAACCGCAGCGGTAGGTGGGCCCGAAAAAAAAAACGGTCCTACGGACCTTAGTGCTCTGAAACCATGTTAGAATCTAGCAGCAGGAATGGTTGAACTAGCAGCATGCAGGAGTACAAGTAGTAAACCCTAATTTGGGTTGTACCCCATATGGGCTACCCCACTACAGCCTAGACAATATGCAGCATATGTTTGACAAGCTGTGTCACGGGGGGCTTGTCGGGAGGATGACACTTCGTTCTCGGCTTACCTTTTGGGGTCTCTGAAGGCGCTCATCGGAGTGGCGTTACAACGGGCGCAAGCTCGTGTCATCCTGCTTCGGGCGGCGTCTTCCAAAGGGGGGTTGAATGTGGACTTGGTGGATCGGGAGAGGGACGATGTCGAGGTGGAGGGCGGGCCTCTTTGGGTGGAGGCCCCCTACATGGTGGATGTGCAGATGTGACTAGGGGTGCGGGATGGGGCGTCTGGCGGGGTGTAAGAGTACGTCGACGTTCGACATATTTCTCATTTCCATATTTTAACTTTATCTTATTCTCCTTGTTTTCCTCTTTCATTTGCACTTTATTTCACCTCAATCGGACTACTATTCTATTTTCTAGAGCTTTTCAACTATTTCACTTATTTTGTGTTGTCGGCACCGACAATTACATTTTACGGCACCGACAGCACCGTCGGTGGTGTACAAGGCGTAATCTCGCCATAATCCAATGTGCCAATCGGATTGCGTGCTTATGCGCACTAGTGATTATCTATCCTAGAAGAGCGCGTTCCCGAAGGTTCGGATTATCGCTTGTTTCTATGTATTTCTGAGTATAAATACGCCTTGTACTCACCTTTAGTGCAACATTCTCGAGTGGAAATTCGATCCTGTGACACTTGGTATCAGAGCCGTTTTCACTCGCGGAGTTTCAGCTAAGCGCGCGACAGCAAATTTCCTGCTTCAAAAAACCGTCGGGGGCGACGAGTTCGGCGCCGACGCTGGTAAGCACCAGAATCCGCGTTTTTTGAAAAACCCCCCTCGCGCGTTTTTTGAACAGGTCCGAAAGTTCAGTTTTCTGGCGACGACTTGGCGATATAGCGACGACAATCGCGAATTGTCAGGACCTATATCGAGCGGTGCAGAAACAGCAAGACCGACGCGCGACGGATCTAACGACTTCGGGTGAAAGCGCGCGTCATGGCGAAAATTGCGACAGTATCAGAATCGATCGTGACTTCGCAGCAGTCGCGAAAATTTCCCAAGGCCCAAAAAATTCGAGCCCCCAACACCTTCGAAGGAGAAATCGACGTGCGGAGGTGGTTGGCAGAAATCGAAATATATTTCGAAGCCGTCGGTTGGACATCCCCGACATACGACGGTTCGCGAATTAAATTTGCAGCAACACTTCTGCGCGGACCAGTAATTGATTGGATAAGCGGAAGCGGATTATTAAACCAAGGCGAAGCGACGTGGCAGCAGTTCCGAGAAGGATTACTACAACGTTTCGAGCCGATAAATGCAGCGTTTATCGCCCGCGACAAAATACATCGTCATCGACAAATCGGGAGCGTCGCGAACTACACGCAACAAATGGAGGAGTTGTTCAACCGCATCCCCGACGTCACGGAAGGCGAAAAAATTAGAGCATTCATCGCGGGGCTGAAAAACGAAACACGACAACACGTTGCGGCCGCAAATTGGAGCAGCTACAACGACGTTGTCTCGGCAGCAGAACGTTTCGACGTAATCACGATCGGAACACGACGACTTCATGGACGAGCTAGACGACATGGAGGACGCTTGGCTACCCCCACGTACGCCGACCCGATGGAACTCGATCGAATCGACGCGAAGGCAAGACCAAAGAAGAACAAATCTAAGTGTTCTTTCTGCGGCAAGCCGGGACATCGACTCATCGATTGTAACAAAATGAAAACCGCACGTGCCGCGCTTTGGGACCGCAGCAGTGGAGCAGATTTAATGGAAAAATTGGAGGATCGTGGAGCAAATTCTTCAACCCACGAACGGACTCTACCAGGGAAAAACGCCGAGAAAAATAAAATCTCCGCGAAACAAGACCCTGCTGGACCCGGACAACTCCAAAAAGGCCCTGTAAAAAGTAAGCACTCCTTAAAATTATCATACAAGGATGCTCTACTTGGGAAAACCTCCCCTGGGTCTGCGGCCTCGGTGAAATATGGAGAGAGGCTCCAGAAGAAAAATAATGTACCGGTACGACAACTGCAGCAGCTGCGCATGGGGAACCAACAACGGAGCGTGGAAGATCGACCTTCCAACGACGACATCGTCCTCTCTCAGAACAACCAGCCCACGTCGACCAACCGGTCCCCACGGAAGAAGTCGGTGGCGCTGAAGCAGCTCAAGAGGGAGCTGGAGGTCAACATGAAGCTGCGACGACCTCAAACCTCCTCTACAGATGCATCTGAAACATTTCACTGAAACATCTGCAACATCTAGCATACGAAGGAATTCTACTACGAGCTCGAGAACCACGTCATCGACGGAAACAAAAAATCATGACAACAGGGAAAGGCAAGACCGGCCATCCGCCACCCAAGGAGATACCACAGAGCTATGGGATGTGCCGTACGATCCAATCAACGAAACGATCAACGGGTACAGCGAGCAACGCCAACCACTTCTGCTCGAGGTGATCTGCAATGGACGACGCCTCCAAGCACTCGTGGACAGCGGAGCATCCCATTCTGTATGAGACAAAGCGACCCTCGAACGCATTAATGAGGAGTGCACGCCTCCAAACTTTACAGCTACGATGGTTGACGGAAGCAAGTTACAAGTCTACGGCGAAGTAGCGTTACGCCTGCAGATGGGTCCTCTTCGCTGGAAACCGACCCTACCTGTCACCAACATCAAAGGGCTAGACTTGATTCTTGGGAGAGACTTTCTCAAGAAGTTCAACCCCGAGATCAACTGGGTCACCCGCACGGCGAGCATCTACAATCAAGACAGAAGAGTTCCACTTCCGAGTTGGAGCAACACGGGAGATATTCCGGAGGAGACTCTCGCACGCTTTGAGAAGGACGTGAAAAGAACCATGGCAGGGTTCGTCGCACTGGTTACAGACGAGGATGAAGCAGAGAAGAAGGCACCTGAGCTTCCACCTGCTATCGAGAAACTTCTGGAGGAGTTCAATGACATTCTTCCTGACGACCTCCCAGACCAGTTGCCGCCATACAGAATCTACCAGCACGAGATCGTCAAAGAACCTGGTTCGAAACCGACCTTCCGAGCACCATATCGACTCAGTCCTACCGAATTGGCTGACATGAAGAAGCAGATCGAGTACCTCCTGGACAAGGGACTCATTCGACCATCGACATCACCATATGGTGCACCAGTGCTTTTCACGCCAAAACCTGACGGAAGCTTACGCATGTGCATCGACTACCGAGCTCTCAACAAGCAGACGATAAAAAATAAGTATCCCATTCCTCGGATCGATGACCTGCTTGACCAGCTTCGGGGAGCCACGATATTCTCAATACTCGATTTGAGATCGGGATATTGGCAGATCCGGATGGCGGATAACTCCATCCATAAGACGGCGTTTCGGACACGATACGGATCCTACGAGTACCTCGTCATGCCGTTCGGTCTCACCAACGCACCCGCTACATTCCAGGCCGAAATGAACCATATTCTTAGGCCTCTACTCGACGAATTCTTGGTGGTGTACCTGGACGACATCTTGATCTACTCGAGCACATCGAACACCTACGACGTGAAGCAGCACATCGAACACCTACGACGTGTCTTCGAGATACTTCGACGGGAGAAGTTCTACGTCAAGCTATCCAAGAGCGAGTTTGCCTTGAAGAAAGTTCAGTTCCTTGGACACATGGTGAATGCTCAAGGAGTACATGTGGACCCAAAGAAGATCGAAGCCGTACGTACGTGGAAGACGCCTGAGAACGTGAAGGAACTTCAGCAATTCCTTGGCTTCGCGAACTATTACAATCGGTTCGTGCCACAGTATGCGAAGATTGCAACACCTCTCACCAACCTGCTGAAGAAGAATACACCATTTAGGTGGGAGGATGTACACCAGTGGGCCATGGAGCAGTTGAAAACTGCACTCACGTCCGCACCCGTCCTGATCCTGCCAGATCCAGAAAAAGACTACGTCATCGAAGCTGACGCTAGCGACCAAGCAGTTGGGGCAGTTTTGATGCAAGACCAAGGGAAACGGCTACAACCAATCGCTTACCTGAGCAAGAAATTGCATGGGGCAGAACTCAACTACCCGATTCACGACAAAGAGGCCTTAGCGATCATCACCGCGTTCAAGACATGACGATGCTACCTCGAAGGAAGAAAGACCACGGTCTACACTGACCATTGCAGCCTGAAGTACCTAAAGACGCACTCCGAGCGGGCGCCGCAGGAACAGAGGGGGCAGGGGTAGAGGTGGCGGCGGGGGAGGCGGGGGTGGGGGAGGTGGGAGTGGAGGTGGGGCTGGAGAGGCTAGTGGCGGCAGTGGGGGCGGTGCCGGCAGCGGCTGGGGCGGTGGCAGGGGCGGGGGCGGCAGCGGGGGCGGAGGTGGTCGTGGCAGCGGCAGGGGAGGAGGTGGTCGAGGAGGTGGCGGCGGCGGTGGTGGTCGTGGAGGCGCTAGCAGCGGCCAGAGCCAGCAGCCCAGTCCGTCCCTCCAGGAGGCCCGTGAGTGGTACTCTCAGCACGGGGGGGGGTGGGCTTAGCTGCACGTACGTTATCCGCACTGGTGACCGCACTGGTCAGACGTGTGGGAGGCCGCACCCCACGCAGCGCTGCTTCTCTCGCCTCGATGACGCCTGGCGTGATCAGTACCCTGATGCCTCTGAGCTGCCCCGCTGGTTTGATCTGCTGAAGAATGGAGTTGATATCTATGCTCTAGACTTTGATGCTATTCTCACTGCCATGTATGTGATGTCTATTAGTGGAGAGAGTGCTCAGTACCTGTGTGTTCCGCCCGACCCGGGCATTCGGACCAGTGAGGCTGCCGCTCTAGGTGCTAGTGAGACTGCCACTCCAGGTACTCGCGTGTCTGCTACCCCAGGTGCTGGTGAGGCTGCTGCTCTAGGTGCTCGTGAGTCTGTGCCCCCCGGTCCTGAGTCGACTGAGGCACTGCATACTTCACACTGGACTCAGGTGCTTCTCGTTGTTTCTTTCGTGACCGCACTGTCCTTGAGCCGCTCGCTCGGCCAGTTGCTGTCTCCCTCGCTGACCCCTCTGGGGGTCCGGTCATTGCGACCTCCTCCACTGTCCTTCCTTGTCCTGCGGTCCCGTCGGGCACACTGTCAGGTCTCCACCTCCCCTCGTTCTCTACGAACTTGGTGGCGGGTTGTGCGCTCCAGGACGCGGGTGTTCACCAGTTCACCCCTGCCTACGAGCGCGTGACACACTGCACGTGTGCTCGGACGGGCCGTCACCTGGCTACCTTCACTCGGCAGCCCGGGTCGGACCTGTACACACTGACCACTGAGTCCCCTCAGGTAGCTGCGTCTGCGTCTGCGTCTGCGTCAGGTCAGCTGTCAGCCCCCTGCTCGTGTCGCTCTCTGGCGCACGAGACCGTCCTCTGGCACCACCGACTTGGTCACCCGTCTGTGCAGCGCCTTCGGGCCATGCACAAACGGTGCCTTGTCTCTGGTCTTCCCTGGGTTCTCCCTCCCCTCCCACCCTCGCCTGCTCCTCCCTGTCTTCCCTGTGTCGAGGGGCGGCAGCGCGCCGCTCCTCACTCCTCCTCCTTTCCCCCGACGACTGCTCCCTTGCAGACGCTCCACCTGGACGTGTGGGGCCCAGCCCGCGTCTGTGGACAGGGTCAGGAGAGGTACTTCCTGATTGTTGTTGACGACTACTCTCGCTACACCACGGTCTTCCCCTTGCGCACCAAGGGTGAGGTCCCTGCTGTCTTGATCCCTTGGATCAGCAGAGCTCGTCTCCAGCTCAGCGAGCGTTTTCGCTCGGACTTTCCTGTCCTACGTTTGCACTCTGACAGAGGTGGTGAGTTCTCCTCCAACCTTCTGGCAGCCTACTGTGCCGAGCACGGCATTGAGCAGTCGTTCACGCTTCCGGCCTCTCCACAGCAGAATGGGGTTGCTGAGCGCCGCATTGGCTTGGTCATGGAGGTCGCTCGTACCTCCCTGATCCATGCGGCTGCTCCCCACTTTCTGTGGCCGTTTGCGGTCCGATACGCTGCGCATCAGCTCAACCTCTGGCCCCGTGCCTCCTTGCCGGAGACTTCCCCGACACTGCGTTGGACGGGAGAGGTTGGCGATGCGTCGCGTTTTCGGGTCTGGGGATCCCGAGCTTTTGTTCGCGACACGTCCGCGGACAAGCTCTCCCGTCGCGCTGTCCCCTGTGTCTTCCTTGGCTTTGTCCCGGACGCGCCTGGTTGGCAGTTTTACCACGTCACCTCGCGCCGGGTTCTGCCTTCTCAGGACGTCACTTTTGACGAGTCCGTCCCCTACTACCGCCTCTTCCCCTACCGCACTGCCCCGCTCCCCCCTCCGCCTCTCTTCCTCGCGCCAGGTGCTGCTGTGGTAGACCCCCTCCCCCCTCAGGGTGCCGCTCCCTCAGGTGTGTCCCAGGTAGACCCGGTTGAGCCTGTCGAGGTAGCTGTCGAGTCTCGTCCTGCTAGGGGAGCTGAGCCTGCGTGTGAGGAGCCTGGCGGTGCTGAGCCTGGGGGTCCTGAGCCTGGGGGTGCGGAGCCTGGGGGTGCTGAGCCTGGAGGTGCGGAGCCTGGGGGTACTGAGCCTGGAGGTGCTGAGTCTGGGGGTGCTGAGCCTGAGAGTGCTACACCTGGAGGAGCCCTCTCCTCACAGCAGCTGCAGGAGAGGTACCTACAGTACTGCAGCCTCCGGAGAGGTGCTGCTGGAGCTGGTACCAGTGCTTCCCCTCCTACCCAGGAGCTCCCCTCCCTTCAGCAGATCCGAGAGTGGTACACGCGGCGCTGCAGTCTTCGGAGTGGCGCTCCTGGTGCTGCGGACCCTGGAGTTGGAGCTGCTGCTGGTGCTGAGGACCCGGGCGGTGGAGCTGCTGCTAGTGCTGAGGACCCGGGCGTTGGAGCTGCTGCTGGTGCTGAGGACCCGGGCGGTGGAGCTGCTGCTGGTGCTACGGACCCTGGAGCTGGAGCCACTGCTGGTGCTGAGGACCCGGGCGTTGGAGCTGCTGCTGGTGCTGAGGACCTGGGCGTTGGAGCTGCTGCTGGTGCTGAGGACCCGAGCGGTGGAGCTGCTGCTGGTGCTGAGGACCCGGGCGGTGGAGCTGCTGCTGGTGCTGAGGAACCTGGCACTGGTGTCTGGAGACGCTGCGCGGCCACGACCGTACTTCGTACCGCTCCTTCAGCAGGTTCTTGGTCAGGCTCCTCCTCCTTGTCCTCCTCCCTCCGTAGAGTGTCCTCCGTCTGTCCTGTCGCAGTCATAGTTACCGCCTGCCTCGCCTCTCCCTGGTCCCTCTCCTTACACTGGTCCCACAGGAGGTCTTACGGAGCGTCGTGAGCCTGAGTCTCGTCCTGCGTCGCCTGTTCGTACTGCTCGCACTGGTCGTCGTGTCCCACGTGAGCGTCCTCCTCCTGTCCCTGGCACTCACTACATGACTCTGCGTCCCTCCACTGCTCCTCAGCGTGTCCCTCTGCCGTCTCCTCCTGCGTCCTCTCTACCTACTCTTCCTGACCCGGAGTCTGACTCCCGTCGTGCTGCCAGTCCCACTGTCACGCGTCTCCTCGCCACTGTTGTCACTGACCCTACCTTTGAGTCCTCTGCTGCGTCTGCTCTGGTCGCTGAGTTGGTTGACTTTGCTGCCCGGTGTCGTCTAGACTACGCCGCTAGCCTTGTTGCTGAGTCTGAGTCTGTCTGTCCTCCGTCCGTCGGGGGTGAGTGTGCTCTTGGCACGGACGTCCTTGAGGACAGACAGAAGGAGTTCCAGTGCTTTGCTGCTGCTTTGCCCCATCTCGTGTCCATGCTAGTTGCCCCTGAGGGAGACCCGGATGCACCAGACATCCCGACCCCGCGCTCTTACGCTGAGGCGATGGCGGGTCCCTACTCCTCTTAGTGGCAGACAGCCATGGACGCAGAGATGGCTTCCTGGAAGTCCACACGCACCTACGTCGACGAGGTTCCCCCACCTGGGGCGAACATCGTCAGTGGCATGTGGATTTTCAGGGTGAAGCGGCCGCCGGGTTCTCCTCCTGTCTTCAAGGCGCGCTACGTTGCTCGAGGCTTCAGTCAGCGAGAGGGAGTAGACTTCTTCCAGACCTTCTCCCCCACCCCGAAGATGACTACTCTTCGGGTGCTGCTGCACATAGCCGCTCAGCGCGACTACGAGCTTCACTCACTTGACTTCAGCACTGCTTTCTTGCAGGGCAGCCTGCACGAGGAGATCTGGCTGTGCCGCCCTCCTGGCTTCACTGGGTCGTTTCCTCCTGGTACCCAGTGGAGGCTCCAGCGGCCGGTCTACGGTCTCCGCCAGGCGCCACGTGAGTGGCACGACACACTGAGGACGACACTTGCGGCTCTTGGGTTCGCTCCCTCTACTGCTGACCCGTCGCTGTTTCTACGCACCGACACCTCGCTGCCGCCGTTCTACATCCTCGTGTACGTCGACAACTTGGTCTTTGCCACTGCTGACACTGCGGCACTCGCCCACGTGAAGTCGGAGCTGCAGAAGAGACACACGTGCACAGACCTGGGTGAACTGACAAGCTATCTTGGCTTGCGGATCACCCGGGACAGAGCACGGCGCACCATCACCTTGACTCAGTCACACATGGTGCAGCAGATTCTTCAGCGCTTCCGCTTCACGTACTCCTCGCCTCAGTCCACTCCTCTGCCTACCGGTCACTCGCTCTCAGCTCTGCCTTCGGATGAGTCCGTAGAGCCGAGTGGCCCGTATCCAGAGCTTGTGGGCTGCCTCATGTACATGATGACCTGCACTCGACCTGACCTTGCATACCCTCTTAGCATCCTTGCACGCTATGTCGCTCCTGGCCGTCACAGGAAGGAGCACATGGATGCCGCTAAGAGGGTGTTGCACTACTTGTGCAGTACGTCGGGCATGGGGCTAGTGCTTGGAGGGCGAGACCGAGTTGTACTTACTGGACACTCTGACGCTTCTTGGGCAGACGACCAGGCTACTCAGCGGTCGTCTCAGGGTTACACCTTCAGTCTTGGCTCTGGCTCAGTTTCTTGGCGTTCTACATGCTCTTCTTCTGTTCTCAGCTCTAGTTGTGAGGCTGAGATCTACGCCACAGCCATGGCTGCCCAGGAGCTACGCTGGCTGACCTACCTGCTGACCGACTTGGGAGAGCGGCCTCGTTCTCCTCCAGTGCTGTACGTCGACAACAAGGCTGCCATCGCCTTGTGTGAGGAGCACAGACTGGAGCACAGAACGAAGCACATCGCCCTGCGGTACTTCCTTGCTCGAGAGCTGCAGCAGCGTGGTCAGCTTCGTCTGCGTTACGTGGCCACTGAGGCCAACACTGCTGATGTGTTCACCAAGGCGCTTCAGCCTTGTGACCATTAGCGCTTCTGTACTCTTTTAGGCCTTGTGCCTGCTGGACCTCACTTGCTTACTTCTTGACTCTGTTTGTACTGTGATCTCTGTATGTTTACCTGCATGTTTACACTTGCTAGGTTGTGATCACTGTATCTCTTGTTATATTATCAAACTGCATGTGAACTAGTCTTGTGACCACTTGCTTGTGCTCAGAATTTGTGTGGTATCCTTGAGATCCACCCTGGGATTTGTTTTATTTGTTCTCCTGCTTGACTGGTCTGGTGACCACTATTAGGTTTGGCTATCCCCCCTACTTCACCTATGGGGGTGTGTCAAATTATATGCTTCTGATTATTTCTCTCTAGGTTGTGTAGGGGTGATTCCTTAGAGGGTACAACAATACAAACTCTCTCGATTGTCTTGTACCCCCTCCCCTTACCTAATCGACATATAATTTGACAGTGCCAACGGATGAAGAGCAGTAAGCAGAAGAAAGCAGGACTTCTTCAGCCTCTGCCCGTCCCGGAACAGCCTTGGCAAGTGGTCAGCTTGGACTTCATCACTGGGTTACCACCTACCAAAGCGGGACATGACGCCATCCTGGTCGTTATCGACAAATTCTCAAAGATGGGACACTTCATTCCGACACATACAACCGCACGCACGGAGGAAACGGCACAGCTGTTCGTCAAGCACATCATCTCACAGCACGGGATCCCGACAACCCTTATC